ACTTCAACTCCCAGAATTCCCCAGCCAGGGTGGAATTCTGGGAGTTGAAGTCCACACATCTTCAAGCTGCCAAGGTTGAGAAACACTGCTCTAGCATGTGGATCAGCATCCAGGTCAATCTCTTAATCATAGTTATGCTTCCCTTTAGTTATATCTTCTCCACTTTTTTCCAAGTCCATCCAATAATAAGGCAGTTTTCCCCAACCTAGTTTCCATCTGGGTAGGCTAGAATTCAGGCCCTTTAATTCTCAACCAAGAGTTGTGCTGGCTGCAAGTCACAGGGACTTGTCCAAAATATATAAAAGGCAACAGGATGAGAAATGTCTAACCGAAATTATTACAGTAGGCATTTTTGTGTGTGTGAGACAAACAGCGTCTGTTTGCTGATGGCGCTGCATTTTTGAGACATCATAAAACCACTGCTATTTCAGATGACATAACAGATCAATCTGCTATTTATGCTGAGGCCAGAAGGGAACCTACTCAAGGTCTGAGAAGGTAAAGTAAATTCAAATTCTGTACAAGTGTTCATTTGTCATCAATTGGCCTGGATAAAAGGTAATTAACCATAACTAGAAAAAAGTGTATATTTTCTTTCTTTAAAAATGAGATAGTCACACATTAGCTCATTTCTTCATTTTTATACATTTACTGGTGGAAATATTTGAGTGTTCCCCCCATCCCTCATTCGAGGAATGTAATTGGCAAGGATATGATATAAAGTCCCTGGAACACAGCCTAAAATAAGAATTTCTTTAAATTCCCCCTTTCTGGGGCAGAGGGAGAGAACCAACCCTGCAAGCCCCTAATTTATTTACACATGTAAGTAAATATTGAAGAATTTCCATACTTTAAACATCAGTTTTCTACTGACTTACAGTAGAAAGCTGCAATGCCAGATTTCACTTCAGAATGTGAACAAGCAGTAGCTCTGGGATTAATTAGCTGAGCCCTGAATTCAAGTGTAATTTATGATGTGTTTCTTTCAGGACAAAATTAAGGTTTATTTTATCAACACTGCCGGTGTTCTTTGCTCAACCTTTCCAGCAACATCCCCCACCATAATATATATTGTATATATTATGTATGTAGCAATTTTTTTTCTACATGCCGTCTATGAATTTATTCTTTAAATTTCTTGAATGTCCAAAGTTTCCTTCATATCCAGGTCAAGACAAGTTTTAAGTAAGTTTTCCATTTCCCTATTAAAATCTTATTTCCTAAATCTTCAGGTATACCATTAAACTTCAAATTATTTTTTTGCAATTCTGTTTAGCTATTTCTAGTTCAGCTTCCAACTTGTTTAACTCTGTCCTTTAATTTCTCTGAACTAAAAACAGCTCCTTGTGTCCTGTCTGCAAATCTTTAATATCTTTATCTGGATGTTCTAATTTGGCTGTTAATTTATCATGAAAGTCAGCCTTAAAATAATGCAATTCTGTGTTCAAATCTTGTTGCTTTTGTTGAATTTATTTAGTTACATTATCTTCCACTGTACACAATTCACCTGTAAGAAGAACTTTAATTTGTGATAAAGTAACAGAGGAATCAGTTAATGATTATGACTGGGCTCTTCTGATTTTGTTGTTTTCTTTTTACTGTGTCATCTCCTACCCATGTCTTTTCATTATGCAAGACTGGAACAAATTATCCAGTTAAGAGTAAGATATTAGATTAAAAAAAAGTTTAAGAACACCTAGATATTATATTAATGATCCAGATATGAAGCAAAAATGAATAAAGGAAGCCCTTGAAGGAATTTCAGGTCTTAAGGCTACACCCTAGCTATACCCATTAAACTCTTAAAATAAACTTTTAAAATACTGTAATTCTTTATACAAAAAAACTGAGCATTTCCTGAGTCCAAATGTCCTTAGGTTGAAAACCACAACTAGACATTCCTTATGTTGGAGCTCCTTCTTGCGGTTAAAAAAAGAAAGACATAGAAGTCAGTCTGATAACAGACATCTAAACAAGGCTGATGGTTGTCAGAAAGCAAATCCAAATAAGGCACAAAGGATAATAACCAAAATACTTGTTTCCAGATTGATAAAATTCTCATTGGTACAATTATATTGAACATGTAGTCTTTTATCAATTCACGTCTCTTTGGATTTCTCACAAAAAGGAAAAATAATAAAACAAAATCAAAGAAGGACTGTCTTCCCTTCATAAAAATCCTTTTTATGTATGTTGATCAATTATAATTCATAACTGTCCTTATCCCTCTTATAAGGACATATTGTAGTTCTAAAGCTGTTATAAAAAACTATTAAACAATTGATCAGTCAAAAGGAAAAAATAAACCAATAGAGTCAGCTTGAGAAGTTAGAGTCCTCAAATCATAGAAACATATACTTGTAAATCGCAAAATCAAATAGAGAAGTTTAAAAGAGATATAATGAAAGAGAAAATAAATGGACACTTTAATTAAAAGCTGAAAGTTCAGCTTAGTTGGCTGTTATTGGTCACCACCTACTACAGAACTGTAGATGGCTTTCAGAGAAAGGTGTAAAATCTTGAAGATTGTATAGTTTTCTGGATTCACTCTCACTAAAGGAAAATTGCTGTTCTGCCAGATTCTTGAGAATTAATGATGGTTAAGAACATTTTTTTTTTACAGTTAGGAAAGGGGAAATTTGAAACAATATCTCCACTGAAGCAACTCCATTGCCTCTCCAACGAGCTGTCATCTTGAGACCCCAAGGCCTCATTATTTTTAATTGTATGCTTTTCTCCTAATTCATACAACGTGACAAGATATTCCTGTTTCTGATATTATTTGTACAGTGGGAGCTGTCCGTTTATAAAAATGCACATAAAAAGCACTTTCTGATAAAAAAGAGAAAACAAGACAATTTATAGATGACATGCTCCCTATGTATTGCTGTAACATATTGAACATGGCAAATATCTTTTGAAGAAAGAAATGAAACTTCTCTCTTCAAAAGATGGCTGGGGAATTTGTATCTTTCCAGATGTTGTTCAATACTCAGCATCCTCACTTTTTCTTAGCTGATTGAGGATACTGGAAGTTGAAGTTCAGGAACTGTCCTATGGTCAAGGCCCCATAAACTTCACAAGGAAGTTGAAACAGGCTCTCTCTTGGTGACTGGACCAGGCCAGCAGATTAGAATCTTGCAAGGGGTTGCCTGATATATCCTGATGCTTTGCCACATTAGGGATTTAAAACTTTTTTTCAGTTGGGCTCAAAAGCCAAGAGGCAACCAATGTAGTGCCTTCAAAATAGATTCTTATTCTAGCTTGATGGGTTAACAGAGTCTACTACTGCATTTTCTCCTAGCTGTAGAATCTGGGTTGCCTCCAAAGGCAGCTGCATGTAGAGTATGTTCCAGTAGCCCAGCTGAGTGGTGACCAGAGCATATTGGCTCATGTAGGGTTGTAACTGCCATGGTTTTTACTCGCAATTTAAGCAGGGACTAAGAATTAAGTCCTAGTAATACATTCATTTCAATGTTGGGTGTCTACTGATTATTAATGTTCTTGTTTTAAAGGAAAGCCAATCTTCCCAATGATGACTTAATTAATGATGGACAAAGGATTCTGGCTGGCTTTATCCATGACGATGAAAGTGTTGTAAAAAAGAAAATATCTATACCTCTGAGCGTTAAAGATGAACTAGAAAATCCAAATGCCAAAATTATCAATGCTGGCTGTATAAAAGTAGAATGGCAAAATCTAGAGGTAATGTGTTATTTTCTTACCCTTCGTTCTTTAATCTTAATTGTTAAATTTTTGTAGGCCAATGACATTTTATCACAAAAATCCCATTTTACCTGTGTTTATGATAGATTTTATTTTTTTGGCACCAATAACTTTCATGAACCCAATACTGAAGATGTGTTTCAAAGCTGAAGCATGATCAGTTTTATTTGTGGGGTGCTACTACTGAAAGATGCACGTTACTTACATTAGCACAAGAAATCAAGTTGGAGATTGTGGGTTGGCATTATGAAAGTTATTAAATGGGGAATCTTTAGTAAAATTGGAGTGCAAAACTGATTAGGGAATGAATTAATGGGCATGATAGTTCTTCAGTGGTTTGGGGCCCAGTGTAGGTCCTGCTCAATTGTTGCAGCCTCACTTTAAACCCTGCCGGGAAATCAACTGGACTTCAGATTCTGAATAAATATGTGTGACGATTTGTACCAATTTATGATATGTAAATTTGCTGCTGGGGCTTGGGTTAACTGGAGTGTGTTAGAAGGTATTTATAGTTGAAAAATGGGTTATAAATAGGCCTAAAGTGGTGTGGCTTTGCCTCAGCCTGGCAAAGCTAGGCTCCATGGAGACAATGTGACTCTCCTTGAAACTTCACCCTGCTTTTGAGCATCAAGTGGCAGTTTCCATAAGCAGAAAAGGCTTTGCACCAAAGTGGTTTCACGTAAGATGCATAGTGAAGCATTATGGCTATATTACTTTGCTCTTACATATGGGGAGAGACCACAGGCCTTTGCAAAACAACTTTGAGGGGGCTCTTTCTCAAGTCTTCTTCATTGCAAAGCTCTGTTGAAAATTTGCACATCCTGGTGATGAATATTTAGTCTTTAAATCAGATTTTGCCTTTTTCTCTACTCTCCAGATACTGTAGTTAAGTAAGATTACAAATCAGAAGATTTCAGTTACAAAGTACTGTTTTTTCACCACAAATGACTAACTTACTTTGCTTTTGATAAACAAAACATTTTACCAAAATTGCAAACATCCAACTATTATAGCAGTAGGGCTGAGAATGCTGGATTTATATGTGAAAAATCCAAGTGTGGACAGTTGCTATCTATGAAGTTCAACCTATGGCTTAGGATCAAACACTGTTTTATAGCTTAATCTCCATTGCAGGGTTGATGTGAGTCTGGATGTCAATCTGAACTTCTTGAAAGTCATTATATGAATGTGATTTCAAGAATTTAAGAAATAGGTGATAGATACTGTTTCAAATTATTTCAAGAGATATAGCAAGCTTAGGTGTCAATATGAGCTCTCCATAAGTATATGGAAGAGTTGTGTCCATCCAGTTAATATACTGTAAAAGTTTCATTACCTCTCTCTTTTTTTCTAGAAAATGAGTGAAACATTTCCCATCTTTTGTCACCATGAAAGATACAGGTGGAAGTTTGTTTGGAATCAGTGGCTTTTGTTATATGGAAAGAAGATATTTGGTTATTTGAATCAGGGTAATGAAGCATGCATGCTCTTAAACCCAGTTCTACAAAATAACTATAATGACTCCATTGAAATAATAAAAAATAAAAAATATCCTTCTTCTAACCTAAGTGCAAAGACGAAGAAAAAACCCAGTTTTTCTAGGAAGCCAAAGCGTATCACCATTCAGATTTTATCTTTGGGAAGAGAACTATGTAATCTTTCTGCAAATGATCAGAAAGGGACATCATTGGTTCAGAAAACCAATGGACATGTTACTAAAACAATTACCAGGCATGCTGTAACTGAGAAAAATATTCTGCAAAATATGTCCAAGCGTAACAAAGACATTCTTATGGAGAGTAGAAAAAAACCTATAGGTAATATAGAACACAGTCCCTCAACTGGGGTTTCAGGAATAAAAACCTCCCTTCCAGATTTTTGGCAAAAAACATTAACTGAAAATAAAGAAAGGCTCAAAAAAGGTAGAATAATTGTGGATAACATACCCTCCCCAAAACCATTTCGAGTTTGTGAGGCTCCAGATGGATTATTTGGCCATAGACTGCCCCTTTCAGTTGATCGTTTCTTTGTAATGCCCAGTGGGATTGAACCGTCAGCTGACAGAAGCAGCCATGCCCAGGAACCCTTCTTAAATGAAACCCAAGCAGCTGAGACAAAATCCAGAGGCCAGCACCTGAAGCCTTCAATGCAAGACAATGGGGAAAGGTCAAGCCAGGTGACAGAGTCATCCTCCCTACCGGACTTTCAAGGAGAAAGAAGGAAAAGCGCAGAGTCCGAGAAATCAGAAAATGCAGCAATATATTCAGAAGAGCAGGGCATTGGGCGCCCTCATTCTCCAGTTCTAAGTATACCAACCGGAAAACCTGATGCTTCAGAGTCTCCATGCCTTTCAGTGCCTGAAACGAATAGCAGCTGCAGTAGCAGAACAATGTAGCCGCAAGCTCTGAAGTGATTTCTTGTTGTGTGAAAGGTTTTCAGGATTGACAATAAATATGTGCATACCACTTGATTAGATTTGTTGCCATGTTAGTATCCGTTCTGTTGCAGTAACTGAAGCGCAGGTGGGATGATAGTCATGTAGCAGCCTTCAGAGAAAGGATCAAGATATGCTGAAGCAGCAGCAGCAAATGATCCTCACAATGCCATGTGCCATCTGCTGGTCACTCCAGCATTGCACAACATGATGTTTTGGGGCTGCTGTTCCCCATTTCTAAGTCGGAAAGTGAAACAAGTTAACCGATGATATCTGGAGAATCCACAAGTGTCTGGGTTGCTGTTGTTGTAAATGAGCTGGCAGTCAGGTATCTGATCCACAGACTTTTCCCACAGGAACCTCCATGTGATGGGTTCTTCTTCTGAGGCCTTTAGAGAGGTGGCTCCTGGTCAGAAGCTGCTTTTAGTAATGGTAGAATGGCAGGAATACAAGAGACCTCCATAAATGTATCCATGCCACCCCACCACCCCAGTTTAATCCTGCCTCCATGCACAAGCTTCTAACATCTTTTAATTGCTTTAAAATTCTTTGTGTTTCCTTACTTATAACTGGGTTTGTATTCACAATTTTTCAATGTTTTTATAGGTTTTATTGCATTTGATGGACAGGTATTATTTCTTTATTGAATTTATCCTTCTCTTTTCCATCAAAGAATAATGCTCAAAATGGCAACTGTACTAAAGTTAAAAATAATAGAAACAAATGTTTAAAACTCCATTAAAACCACATTCATTCAAGCAACCTGCAGGAAACTGATATAACAGCCAGCCCAGCTTATCTGCCCAAAAGCACACTTGAAAAAAATAATGAGGACCCAGCAAACACTTGCAGCTGGCTTGTTTTTTGGCTAAAGAGGATGAAAATAGAAGAGATGGTAGATCCTTTAGAGGACCTTAATCCTGTCAAGTTTCAGCTGGGTATCTTCAAAATCTTCACTACAATAAAATTCCCCCTGCACTTGCCTATCAAAGAGCCAATAGAGAAATTGTGTTGAATCAATGCAGAAAGTCTCCTTTTATCTTTTGAAAGATAAAACACTTTCAAAAACATCTTAAAAAGATAGCTGTTCTTCACATGTTTTTCTGGGGTGCCAGATTTGGCCTGACCCTGAAATGGCCTTCTAACTTGCTCTAGTGGGATGGTGTAGCTTTGCTGTCTCTGATCACCGGGTTTTCTGAAGTGCCAGGAGATTGGCAAGCTTGGCCTTCCTGAGAAGGTCCCCTCCATTGCCAATATGCCAGTCTGGACTGAGAACACTGGCAAATGTTGGCCTCTTCAAGGCAGGATTTATGTCAAGTTGTGACTTGCTGGCAGTGTTCAGTCAGCAGAGGCAGTGCAAGTAGGCTGGTATGATGAAATACAATGCTACATAGATGGGCAGCCCAGGGCACACAGAAAGCGGCTGGCACAGATCAAATGGCATTCGTAGACTTAATACTTCTCAATCTTAAAAACTGTAGTGTTCGGTTAAGTGCCTGGGTTAGCCTGGCTCCTGTTCACTCACTGTTGTGAGACTTAATTCTGCCCGAACTCTGCAGAATGTAACAGGACCAGACTGGTCAGCTTTGAACACACATCCAGTGCTGGGAGCTGAGCTGAGCTGAACTTCCAAGTGTGTTGGCAGACCAGCAAGGAAGCATAACATTTCATTAATGCAACTGAGAGCAAAATTAAGGTTTGTGCCTACCTGAATTCAAGAACAGAGAGCTGAGAAGAGGAATAAAACCCCAAACAGCCTTAGCCATGCCACTCCTGAGGAGCTTTGACCGGCAATTTGGCCAGCTATTCATGCCAGCACCATCACACCATTCAACCTCCCCTCCTCCTGTTTTCTACCTACGGAAGAAAAATTGCAATATTGTCTAAATGTAACAACTCCAGAAGCAGCAGCAGTGAATCTATGCAGTGCCTTGCTTCATGATAATCTGATTCAATTGTGTGCATTGAAACAGGTCTCTGCTTTGAAGTTTTATACAATTCTTGTCTCAAGTAATTGGGGTAATGTGGTGGGCAGGTATGCTCAGAAGCCATTTTTGATGCCTGCAGATGGGTGAACGTCAAAAATTCAAGATGGCAGCCACAACCATGTGATTGAAACCCCATCCCTTTTATGTGCATCATGATGCACATCAGAGGGGTCTTGGTCAAATGGTTGCTTGAATTTTTGGCACCCCACCGTGCAGACTCCCCTGCCTGCAGGAAATGAAGTAGAGCGCCAGTACTTAGCTGCTCCCTCTCACATTATTGTGTGATGAGTGGCTCTCAGGGTCGAATGGTAGACAGATCCTGGATTCTTGTATGAAATAGAAGTGTATGTATAGGTAGTCCTCACTTAATGGCAGTAATTGGGACTGGAATTTCCATCGCTAAGCAATGCCATTGTAAAGCGTGATGTCATATGAACATACCGCTTAGTGAAGGAAATTGCAGCACTTCCGGTTGCTGCTGTTATGTGAATCACCATCGGTTGTTAAACAAAGATGTCACATGATCACCATGTACAACCTCCTGCAGGCTTCCCCATTGACTTTGCTTGTAGGAAGCCAACAAAGGAGGTCACAAATGGTGATCATGTGACTGTAAGACACTGATATAAGTGTGACGTAAGTACAAGCACTGGTTATAAGTATCACTCATTCAGCACTATTGTAAATTCAAATGGTTGCTGAATGAGTGGTCATTAAAGAAGGACCACCTGTATAGTGAAGTATTTCCACTGACTACTTTATAGCAATTGTTCTCAGCATAGCATGGAGAGAGGAATAATTTTAGC